AGAAATTCCTCTCTCTAGGCCAAGATGAACTTGGTGGTACAGTGCCATGAGTATCATGATCAGAGCCCACAGTTTTGGATCCCTAATTTTCCTGGACTCTAATCAAGCATGATAATTGCGAGGCCTAAACTGGACTTGTAGCTGCAGTGCCCAATGTACCCTGGTCACAGTCCACAGCTACAATGTCTTTCAGTCCTGGGCTATTGTTCCCGTAGCCCACACCAGCGTAGTCGAGCAGAACAATGCAGAGATCCCTCTCTACAGCCGTAGATGAGCTTGTTGTTTCAGTGCCATGTGTACATGATCAGCGCCCACACTTTTACAATCCATATTTTGGCTGAACTGTAATCAAGCTCGACAATGCCTAGCCCCTGTCGTGAGGCATCAAATGACGTTGTTGTTGCAGTGCCCTTTGTACCGTGGTCAGCGCTCCCACGCCACAGCCCACTGCTGCATGTCTCTTTCAGTCCTGGGCTGTTGTTCCCATAGCCCACACCAGTGCACCGTCCGAAGACTTCGCTAACCAGAATGCTGAGGTCGGTATCATCATGCCCCAACTGTTCCACCAGTTGGGAGGTACTTGCACAGGAATCCTGGTCAGGTCGGAGACACAAAGGTGGCCGCTGAAGATGTCAACGATGCACCAGGGCAATCTTCTGTCAGCCAAAATACCTTCCCGAGACGGCGGGTTCGGGACACGGACACCTGCCCTGCTCACCCTGATTTATGTAGTTGTGAAGTCATAAAGTCGCCAGTTTTGTGCTGACAGTCGCGTCTTGTAGTCCTGCCACGTGGTTGTCGCTGTCTTGTCGTCGTCGTCGTCTGTGGACAGCTCATCAACCTATGGCTGGCCTGTGATGAAGGGGATGTCGGGGTTCAGGAGGAGCGACCGGGGAACCAGGCGTGGGCAGAGGAGGGGGGGGGGCAGGGAAGGAGCGGAGAGGGAGGATGGGAAGGATTGGAGCAGGGGTTGGGGGACGGGTGCAGAGGGGGCCAGTGGACTGTCTGCGACCAGCACAAAGTTCGTCGGGAGGTAGGGGACTTCGAAACAGTTGAATGGCCTCCTCTCCCAGGTCGATTCTGTGGACCTCCATGGTTTCCACCGAATGTCTAGGCAGTCAGTCAGTTCCAAAAATCCGTTGTGCGGACCCTGCCACAGCTAGGACCCCGGCCTCAGCATTCTCATTGATAATATCAGCCTTGGGCACTGGGCCCCTTTCAAAAAAAACAAAACAAAACAAAAAAAAAAGTCAGAAATATAGTATCCTTGGCTGCCTGTTCCTTCTCCTCTTGGCACCCCCGTTTCATTTCTTTCCATGCATCATGCGTTCGGGCTCGGATCTCATCTTCCGTTGCTTGCTGCGCTTGTTGCAGGCCAAACTGATGGTCTTTGCTTTCAAAGGCACGCCTAGCTCGCGATGTGAGCATGAGTATGTGGAGGCGCATGTAGGTAGGATCTTGTTGTTGACGTCTGAGAAAATCAGAAAAAAATATAGTAGCCATCCCCACTCGAGGGTCAACTACCTAGACGAAAATTCTGCCCATGCATATCCTGCCATACACTACGTCCATATTGTACAATGAACTGAATGGCTTCCATGTGCATCCTGCCATTAACTACGACCATATTCTACATAATGGCCTGGCGTGCTGTCCTTGTCAATGCCAAAACAGTCCAAAGGCCCTAAGGGCCCCCCAAAACGAGGGTCGCACCGTGAATGAACCAACTTAGTAATCTATGCCTCTGTTCACTCTCACCACCAGTACCATTTATATATCCGCGTTCCGATCGTCCACCCACCTCCTCCTTTTCCTTCTACTCACAAAAAAAGTCACCCATCTATGGCCCTCCACTTCCCAGCACTGTACACAAGCATCCTTTTTTTTTTTTTTTTTTTTTTTTTTTTTTAAGCACACGCGCTCCATCTATTGGTGGGGAGCAGCACCTGCTGGAAACCGGGTCCAGCGTCCCATAGATACAACCATATCCTCTCAAAGGAATTCCAAAAAAAGTTTTTTGAAGCTTTTATTCTGAAAATATTTCGAGTTGTAGAATCAGAAGTTTCTTAGAAGCTTTTATAGGAAATTATTTTGAGAATATTTTTAAAAAGCTTTTATAGGAAAAAAAATTCGAGAATCAGAAGTTTTCTTTTTTTTGGAAGCTTTTATAGGAATTCCAATACGAGGTTTGAAGTCCAAACCGAGCATGTCGATCATCAGGAAAATTCCAATTGATCAGCAGAAAGAAAACGAATCAGGAAATCATAAACTGAGAAATTCAGAAGAGCACCCAATGAACAATAGAAAGAAATCGAATCAAGAAATGGTGAACTGAGATCTTCTGATTATCCCCCCTTATAGAATCAATCATTAGTACACGTGAATTAGAAAATCATGGTTATGAGCAGGGGGAAGCTGCCCTCCTTCCTTTCTTGCAGCCGTGTGACTTCGTAAAAAATCCCGTAGGAAGAAAAAACCCTCTGTCTCCCCTTCATCCACCCTCACTCAAACCCAACCCCTTCACCTTCGGGAGGGAAGAACAAAACTCCCTCCATCTACCTGCCCTACCGGCCTCAAGGGCCTGCCATAACACCAACACAGGCAAACGAAGGTACCAATCGGCCATCCCCCTAAACTTCTCCAACATCGGGATGGTGGGGCAACATCTCGTTGAGCCTGCCAACGAGCTACCCCAGGGAGTTCAAGCTTACCGCAGAGACTTGAGTCCACCGCTTCGCAGGGCAGATGAAAGTAGACAGAGGAGACCATGCATCCTATGCCCTCATCTCCAGCCGCTCTCCTTGTGGCGCCTTAATCAGCAAACACGTGCAGAAAGGGAAAGAAAGGATGTTGAAAGGAGAAGGGTCCACACGCTCGAATTCCATGGCGCGCCCTAAAACTTCGATATCTCGTGATCCGCTGGACCGTTCGGTCTGAAATTTGGACCACCTCAGCTCCACAGCGTAGACCACCGGTGGTCCAAATTTCAGCTCAGGGCGCGCGCCCAATCGCGCGCAATCCTCGAGCGCGCGCGCGCTATTTTCCTTGCTGCGCGCTGTTATCCGACGCACGCGGGCTCCTCTCCGTGGTGACCTTGATTGATGCTGCCGGGGCGCAGCGCTCCCGGTAGCGCTGCGCCCAAACTGATCTTCTCTGTACACAATGAATCCCCACAACGTCAATCAGCATCGTACAGCTCTCTCTCTCTCTCTCTCTCTCTCTCTCTCTCTCTCTCTCTCTCTCTCTCTCTCTCTCTCTCTCTCTCTCTCTCTCTGTGTCCGCCCAAGGATGATGGACGTGCCTATGAGCAACCATGGTCGCCGGAAACGAAGTCTTCTCCTTGTTCATCTTGGACCTGTTACTTATTTGAAGAACTTGTCAACAAAAAACTTGTGATCCTTGCCGAGTCGCTCGAGCGGCAGGGGAGATGTCGGATCGATCATTTACAAACTGAGTTTTTACATCCAGCTGACCGCTGACAGTGACACATCGGACATCTTGGCCGGCGTGTCAGTCAGACTTGGTATACACATTTCCAACTTTCCACTTTGAGCTTTCAACAAGTAAAATAGACAGCTCCGCTGAACATTCCGAAATTTGCCGACGATTCGGGATGCTGTCATCCATCATCCGGTGAGTAATCTCTCCTCTCATGTGTAAACCTTGTCCCCCCCAGGAAGGAGGTGGCAGTCAGAGCACCACCGCATGTGGTTTAGAAAATAAATTCTCGACTGGCGGACACATTGAGGAGCTAGCGAGAGCACCACTTCATATACGGCTTAAAAAAAAAAAAAAAAAAAAAAAAAGAAAAAAAAAAAGACTGCCTGACACATTGAGGAGCTAGCGAGACCACCACTTCATATATNAAAAAAAAAAAAAAAAAAAAAAAAAAAAAAAACCCTTGAGAAGCTACAGAACTTCTGAATCTCCTTCTGACATCTAAAGAACTCCGCTTTAACGACTCGCAGAAGATTCGAGCTATGCCATTCCGGAAGACGGGAACCACGGTTTTTGGGCAGGCAAGGAGACATGCAGGCCTTAAACAAACCAACGAAGACGACTGCAATGGCCCAGGCCGCCCAGCCATTTAGGTAATTATGTTATCAATACCCCCGTGACCCCTGCAGAACTGACAACACCGTGAATATAAATGCCCCCTTCTAAATATAAAATTGCCCCCTTCTAAATATAAAATTGCCCCCCTCTAAATATAAAAATGCCCCCCTCTAAATATAAAAATGCCCCCCTCTAAATATAAAAAATGCCTCCCTCTAAATATAAAAATATACATCGCATAACGCGTGAAAACAAGACGTCTTCCCCTCCAGAAGAGAAGGGGTTTTATGTTTTTTGGAGGGGGGAAAGAAGGAAAAAGAGACGTCTACCTCCCTACTGTACTCCTGAGTTTTCAACGATAGCCACTACAACACACGTCCCCAACTGGAAAACCAACTGAACAAGAAATTCTGGAATGGTTCAAAAAAAATTAAAAAACGACTTGAGGGAAGCAGGGAAGTCCCCTCCGTGGCGAGTCCGCGCGATTGCCTGGTATAGCCTGGTGCTCTGAAATCGCGAAAAGGGTAAATTGCTAAAATTAGTAAATTACTAAATAGTAAATTGCCCCTTTCTGAGCTTTGCTGGATGCCTCTTTTGGTAGCCTGGTGCTCTAAAATGGCAAAGCGTAAATTGCCCCTTCAGGTTTTCAACTTTTCACCCTTCGCTTGATGCCTTCTGGTAGCCTGGTGTTCTGAAATGACAAAGAGTAAATTAATATTATTAAAATTAGTCAAAATCACCCTTTTCGACCTTCGCTTGATGCCTCGTAGCCTGGTGCTTTAAAATGGTAAAGGGTAAATTAGTAAAAAAAAAATTACTAAATAGTAAATTTGCTAAATTTACCCTTTTCACCCTTCGCTTGATGCCTGGTAGGCTGGTGCCCTAACATGGCAAAGGGCAATTAAAAAAAAAAAAAAAAAAAAAACCTTTTAAAGTTTTTACTAACTTTTTAGCAAGTTTTACTGTGGTTCCAGAATGGCTGACATGATTATGTCTTCCAGAATGCCTAAAGCATTGCGCATACGCATAGTCGCATACACATCGGCATACGCTTATGTCTATGGGACTGGCTGTCACAGTACGTGACTGGACTGCTTCGGTCCGGAGAACGCCGAGCTTTCCACAACTTAACGACGATGTGCACGTATGCCTCTGTCTTGCTGCGGCGGCACTGCGGCAGGGCACACAGAAAAGGCAGAGTGTTTTGACAGCTCTCGGATATTTGGAATGTTCAATTTCGCACTCTTTTTTTTCCGACTAAAAACAAATATCACACAACTTGATAAAAGTTGATATACCGATCTTTTAAACACAAAAAATACAAGTGGAATGCTTTTGTCTTCGAAAGACAGGAGCGATTCCATGGACTCCTTTCGCCACTCGCACGAGTCGAATGCCCGGCCTGTTGTACTGTCTCCTGTTGCGTCGTGCTTTCTCCAGCTGTTTGATTCTCTCTGTCCGTTAGGCGCCACAGCAGTAGGAGCGACAAGGCAGGAAACACCCCCCAGGTGAGCTGATGGGATGGGGCAGGTTGGCAATCAACAACCATACCTCCAAGCTTTCTAAAAATACAGCTAGACATAACGGAGACAACGGGCACTGCCATTCAGCCTGTGACATATCAACTTGTGCGCAATCCGCTTCTGTAATGCCATCGTTCAAAACGAACCGGACGCTTCGGTTGAATCGAATGCTAGAACCAACAACGCAGAGTCTAATCAACACCGTACTCACAAAGAAACTGAGACAGAGAAAGGACCTGGTGCCTACTGTAGTACTGCCTACGATCATGGCCACGGAGGCCTCATCATCTTCATCGTCTAGCTATGGCGGTACTATGGCCAAGGTGACCTACGCCCATGGCTACGGAGTTTGCCGCAGCTGCTCCCCGCTGGTTCGAGCTCAATTACACACACAGTGACACACTTGCAGCAGTTCTTCTCATGTCAAATTGCAGGCATGACAATCCTGGATTGGTCTGTCTGTGGTCTGGGCTGGTTCATACCCTTGTGTACTCCATTAAGGAGTTTTTTTAACTTTTTTTCCCAAATTCAACGCGCACGACAGTCCCTGCGAACCCGTTGCTGACAGAGGTTGCCTTCCTTCAATTTCGCAACCGTTACCTTCAAATTGAGCCTTCCTTCTTCAATTTCCCAACCTTCAAATTGACCTCTGCCGGCAAACCCTTTGCTGTTTTCAGGTCAGCAACGGGTTTGCGAAAATGTGCAAACCCGGTGCTGACCTGAAAATAGCAACGGGTTCAGCAAAGGGTTTGCCGGATTTTCGCAAACCCGTTGCTGACCTGAAAACAGCAACGGGTTCAGCGGAGGGTTTGCCGGCAGAGGTCAAACCTGTTGCGAGAGGTCAAACCCGTCCGTTGCAAGAAAAGCCTTCAGGCAGAAGTCAAACCCGTCCCTTGCGAGAAAAGCCTTCCGGCAGAGGTCAAACCCGTTGCGAGAAAAGGCTGCAGGCAGAGGGTCAGCACCGGGTTACTTCGCAAAAGTGTGCAAACCTGTTGCAGTCAAACGCGTTGCTGCCAGAGGCTGCCTTCAATTTGGCAACCTTCAAATGGACCTCCGCCCGCAGGCTTTTTGGGTCAGCAACGGGTCAGCGATGGGTCAGCAATGGGTTAGCGATGGGTCAGCGATGGGTCAGCGATGGATCAGCGACGCTTTTTGGGTCAGCAACGGGTCAGCGATGGGTCAGCAATGGGTTATCGATGGGTCAGCGATGGGTCAGCGATGGATCAGCGGCGACGGGTCAGCAATGGGTTTGCAAAAAAAAAAAGTGCAACCCTGCTGCAGTCAAACCCGTTGCTGACGTAAAAAGTTTGCAGGCAGAAGTCGCCTTCAGGGCCTGCCCTCGTTCCCGAATCCTTTGAGCCGATCCTATGGTGAGCGCAGGGCTGGCACAGACCTGACTGAGTATCACAAAGATGGTGGTTCAACTGCGGCGGCAACCTTCTCTCGCAGATTGGACTGTTTGGCGATAACCGGACGGCCGCACGTCGACGAGTCGACTCCAACGAGACTTTCTAAGAAGGGAAGAATCAGCTGCATGCCTTCAGGGTCCGCCCTCGTTCCCGAATCCTTTGAACCCGATCCTATGGTGAGCGCAGGGCTGGAACAGACCTGACTGAGTATCACAAAGATGGTGGTTCAACTGCGGCGGCAACCTTGGCTCGCAGATTGAACTGTTTGGCGATAACTGGCCGCACGTCGTCCACTCCGATGAGACTTTCAAGGAAGGGAAGAATCAGCTGCAATGCACAGTCAGACCGGTCATCGAACCAACTCTCAATAGGAATACCATTGTCAACCTGCATCAAAAAAAAATAAAAAAATCATCATGGAAGAGCTGTCCCAAAGTAAGAAAGGATCACTAATTAGTAATTTTGCCTCAACAAGGATGAGAAGTGACGACATCCGGCAGCCACATAAGCTCGCGTTTTTTTTTTTTTTTTTTTTTTTTTTTTTTTTTTTTTTTCCCCACAAAAAGGAAGAAAACTTAGAAAAGGGATCTCCCCAATCTTGCTGGAGAGGTTACAGCCAAAAAAAAAAAAAAAAAATGCTGCCAAGACGAAAAGCGACCAGCCAATTTTCTTCCCACTCTTGCTTGGCTTGATGAGTTCTACAAACCCATCCATTTCTCGATTTATGCATATCATCCTTGCCCAGGGGCCGTCCGTCGACTAGCAGCAAGCATGACAAATATAAATATTATAAATCGATAAAAAATGGGTGTGTTCCCTGAGAAAAGAACTCCTGCAAAGAAGAAAGCCCAAAGTCACCCAGATGGGTACAATGATGGTACACAATCCGATGACAATTTGCCCTGTGAATGACAACAACACAGGGAGGAAAAGAGGAGCCGTAGGTCTATTACCTCTCTTATCCTTTCCACCCACACAGAGAGGCAGACACTGCACTGGACAAGAGAAAGGGTGTGAGCACCTCCTTTTCGTTTTTGTTGGAGAGGGGCTCGGAGGGTGTGAAGATGAAGGCTGTGACCGCCCTTCGATGGAGATTTTTCTTGCTGGGGGAAAATGAACTGGGGCGTGGTTCTTTCTGCACCCGTAGCAACGACCCCTACGTGGCTACCTTTTCACGAAGAAAGTTAGCAAGCCATAACTAGCATTTTCACCCCCAAACAGAACACATCTTCATTATATTATAGGCTTTATACTAGTTTAAACTTTATAGGGGTCGTCGCTACGGGTTCACAATCGCGGGTGCATCTCTAGACTGATAGTTGCCCCTCTAGAGATGCGCCCGATTCTGGTACAACTTCGGGTGCATCTCTATACGAATCAAAAGGTCGATTATAGGCACTCAGAATCGGGTGCGTCTCTCTCTATACGAAGAAAGCTGTATCTGGTGCAACTTTAGTCTAGATCACTGGTACAATGATAATTATGATATTGTATGTTGCATTGTTGCCTAAATTTGTCGGTTCCTATCGGTTCCTAATTGTGCTCTCTATTCGGTTTAAGATGATGGTATGGACTGGTCGATCACACAAATCCCTCTACAGATGCACCCGATTCTGCGTGCTTGCTCCTTCGTTCCCACCCACTTCTTCCCCCCCCCCCCCCCCCCCCCCCCCCCCCCCCCCCCCTCTCCCTTCCTTGACCAGGGGCTTGTCGCTTTTGTTCCCCGCGCAACCCCTTCTGCCGTCCTCTCTCTTCAGCAAGTCATCGCGAAGCCACCAAATTTGGTGCTATTAATTTTAAACTAGAATCATTGCTATTGCTGCACAAATGCGGAGCACGGGACCATAATGTCTCCAAAGCAGAAGAGAAAAGTAAGCATCAGTAAACCTTCTTCTTCTTCTTCTTCTTCTTCTTCTTCTTTCCTTTTTCTTTTTTCTTTCTTTTTTCTTTCCTTTTTCTTTTTTCTTTCTTTTTTCTTTTCTTTTTCTTTTTCTTTGCCAAATTTAAGTGATACTTTTGTGATGCCTTAGTTATAAATTAGAAATCCTGATTTCAGTTTTTCTTTCTGATTTTTTTTTTTTTGCGCGCGAACCACGACCCTATACCATCTTCTAGGGCAAAGGATTTCTCATAACCAAAAAAAAACCCTAATTACTATTTCCTACAGAATCCTTCCTTGAAGAAAGATGATGAAATTTAAGATGCTACAAACTTGCAAAACCAAAAACCATCACCTTTCTCATAACAAAAAAATTCCCTAATTACTAATTACTAATTATTATTTCCTTACAGCATCTTTCTTCAAGAAAAAAAGGATCTCTAATAATAATTAGCTTCCCTGCAGGTCTCTAATAATTTAAGAAAATAATAATAATTACTAATTAGTAATTAGCTTTCCTTGCAGATCTCTAGTAATAATTAGTAATTAGTCATTACTAATTAGTAATTAGCTTTCCTCAAGAAAAAGCATCTTGAGGAAAGCAACTGCAGTTACTAGAAGAAAAGGCTGCAGTTACTTTCTTCAAGGAGGATTGGCCTTGAGGAAAGTAGCATTCCTCTAGTAACTGCAGTTACTAGAAGAAGAGGCTGCAGTTAACTTTCTTCAAGGAGGATTGGACTCCAAATGGAAATAGAAAAGGAAGATTGCACTACCTATAGGACCTATAGGACCTATAGGACCTATACACTATTTAGTATATTTACTATTTAGTATTGAGTACTATTTGACTATTTACTATTTAGCACTCAGTACAGAAGATATGTCAGTGGCACATTGCACTACCTAGACACTATTTAGTAGTAAGTATTTACTATTTATTTAGCATTTACTATTTAGTAGTATTAGTACAATATAAATATATATCGTTGTTTGCTCGTTTCAGGACAAATTCTCTGAAGCGCAGCACCGACAAAAGCATGACTGCCGCATCGAAATATCTTCAACAATGGGCACAGCTACGTTGTGAATGATCGTTGGGATGTGGAGGTGATCTTCAAGGGGCACATCTTCAAGGAAAAGGAGAGAAGGAAACACACATTACACGAACACTGCATTGTGAATGATCGTCTGGCTCGGAGGGTCGGCGTGATGGTGTTGGGATGTGGAGGTGTGGATGCAAAGAAAGAGCAATAAGGGGCGTTCGACAGCTTGGAGGAAGCGGCGGGGAGCAGTATATGCCATATGGGCTTTCATGCCAGGGTGACCGGCACACACTCTGTAGTGCCATCCTCACACCGTGCCACCCTCCCACACTTTTTTTAATTTTATTTTAATAATAATAATAATCGGACCATCGGCCCATCGGGTCCATTTGTGGATGTATGCCTGTCATCGTCGTCTCACAGAGGCCATTCGAATCTTCTCTGTATCGTTCCAAATTTTTGACATATGTCCCGAAGTACACCCTCCGACTCTTCTACCCACCACCCACTAGTACTAACCCAAGTCCTCACGACGAAGACCTTCTGGACAGGAGCTCAACTTTTTTTGAGGACAACAAGTTAGGTGTGGCAAGGCATGAAGAAAGGGAAAACAAAAC